GCTCTAATAGGTAAACTTTTCCCATAATCTGCCCGGTATTAGACCACTATGTCCACTTATTCAGCCATTTTGAAACTCTTTTTACTACGTACCTAGTCTCCCTAATTTTCCCCACTTTCCAACTTTAGCTTCTGTTTATATGTTGTCTTCCTTTATCAGGATACAAGTGCCTTGAGGGCTAGAATTGTCTTGCTTGCTTGTATTTTGTAAATATGATGTTTAGCACATATTGAGTACTTCATAAGTACTTGCTTTCATTTATTCATTCATTCATCCATTCACAACTCCAATACTCTGGTGCCTCAAAGTCTTTTCTCTCCTTTGACAGCCTTCTCTGCAGTCCAACCCTAGAATGCTGAGGATTAGTTCTCTACTGAATTCACAGCTGACTCTCTCTTCTTTGCTGCCAGAGGATGTGCTCAATGAAACTGCTTCTGGCCTCTACTCACTATCTCTCGTGCATGTGTCTTCCTCAACTGAGCCTCACACTCTGTCTCCTACTCCTACTCTTTCCTTCTGAGTGAAGTGATCATAAAAGAGAGTCCCTACCCTCAAAGACTTTAGACTAAGGGGGATATAACATATGTTAAGAAGTAGATAAGGAAACTTTGGTGTAGGCAGTGCTATTGGTTGTGACTGAAGCCATGAGGTAATAGACAATCATACTCTTTCCAGCAGCAATGGTAGTATTATTTAGTTATTGTTCCTTGAGTAATGGGGAAGTGGTATCAGGACAGATGGCAAGATGCTCACACTGGCTAAGGCCCTAGTGTCCTTGTGGATTGCTGGATGATATAAAGAAAGATCTGAGTGGTTAGAGACAATTAAATATGGGAGAATGAAGTAAAGATTGACTCATTCCCTTTTTGATCATCAAGGCAGAATAGTGTAGGGTACAGGGACGAAGAAGACAGTTCAAATTCTATGTCAAGGGCAGCTTGGTGGTGCAGTGGATAGAGCACTTGACCTGGAGTCAGGAGGACCTGAGTTCAAATCCAGCCTCAGACACTTGACACTTATTAGCTGTGTGACACTGGGCAAGTCACATAACCCCAACTGCTTCTCCAAATAATAAAAATAAAATAAAATAAAATCTATCACAGACACTTACTAGTCATATATGGCCATGGGCTAACTATTCAATAGTTCTATGTCTCAGTTTTCTCATGTGAATAAAAAAAGAAGAAGAGTTTTGGACTTGATAACCTTGAAAGTCCCAACAAGTTCTAAATCTATGATCATATTATTAGTCCTGATAACTCTGTTCCAGCTAAGTCCCAAAGCTGAATGGTTAACTCTGATGGAGTAAGGGAATTGAATCTCTAAATACCCAAAGGGCAACACTCCCAGAGGGGAGAGGTGGGCAGTAGCAAACTCTGGTGTTCTGTTGCTTAGCAAGTTGGAATAACACATAGGACTAAGTGTTGGAAAAGAACTTAGAATGTTAAACAGCCACAAAAATAATCTTGTATAGCATAGGTCTGACCATTTCACACCCGTGCTTAAAAACCTTCAATGTTTTCTTATTTCCTCTGGGACAATACACAAACTCCTCAGCTTAGTATTTAAAGCAATTCCTAGTGTGGCTTCAGCCTACTTTCCCAGACTTAGTTCAAATAGTTGATGTAAGAGCTATTACAGAAGTCCAGGTCAGAGGTTAAGAAAGCCTGCACCTAGGTGATAGTTATGTGAGGGAGAGAAGGAAATAGCTAATATCAGATTGGTCCTGGGTTCCTAAATGTTTTTTGTTATTGTTAATTAAGAACAAGGGCAGCAATTATGTTCTTTCTATGAGGAGCTTTGAAGTCTACAGGTAAAATATGGAGCACTATTCTTACAGTACATTGTTGTTGTTGTTGTTGTTGTTGTTGTTGTTGTTGTTCATCCTTCATGAGGGTGATGTTTTGGCTTGCGAGTGAATTGGCTTTAAGTGAGCAGAGTGGGCAAAGTCTTCAGCCTCTTTCTCTCCTCCAGAGTCAAGACAAAAGTGGATGACTTTGGCTTTTGAAATTAAGGTCTTTTGCAGACCTTAGATTGTCTGATGCAATGTTATCATGCTCTATATTATGCTGTCACTTTTGCAATTTAATGGATGATTTTGGATTCACACAGAAAAGAGCACTCTAAATATGATTGCACACTAAGATAGAGAGATAGGGATAGTCTTTGCTTTTCTTTCATGCCTTTTATACTTGAGATGACAATTGAAAATATCAGCACACTTTCCCATGTCTCCTATATCTAGAACACATCTACTCTTTGTTTGTGTCTTCAAATCCTTAGCTTTCTTCTAGACTGAATTCATATATCACCTGTGATAGCTTTAATTAGTTTACCTTCTGATTGCTTTAGTTGGTGCTCCCTTCCTACTCAAGTTAGTTTGAATTTGCTTATCTGTGTAAATGTTATATCTCCCCAGCTCTGTGATGGCAGAAACGATTTAATTTTTAATGTCTTTGCATCCATAGGGTCTAGCATAGTGCCTTGCTCAGAGTAGATACAATAAATGTTTGAATTAAATTGAATTGGGTAAGTCTTCAAACTCTGAGCTTCAGTTTCCTTAGTTCATAAACATTTTAGAAGGAGTTCAATTAGGTGATCTTCAAAGTTCCCTTCAGTTCTAATTCCTGAAGAACACAGGAGCTTGGGAAGGAGATTAACATAGGCTGTAGGAGATAAAGGTAGTCTTCACAGAGAAGCAAGGACTTGTCTTGGACATTGAAAGATAGATAGATCTTCAATATATAAATACAAATGGGGGGGTTACATTCTCTACAAAGTGTAAAAGTATAGAGGAAGAAATCAGCTAGGAATGTTTGAGGTACAGAGCTCAGTTTCCCTGGACAAGGAGTTTATGTAATATTTTGGAGTAAAATTAGAAAACTTCCCTTACAGCAGTTTCTGCAAGATAGATTGGAAAGAGAAAAGAGTGCTAGCAGAGAGACTACTCAGATAGTTATTATCATAACCTGTGAAGAGGTAATGAGAGCCTGTTGTTAGCAAAGCACTCAGAGTTTGATGATAATTGATGTTAAGTTGTTTTTCAGTCATGTCTGACTCCTTGTGACCCCATTTGGGGTATTCTTGGCAAAGATATTGGAATCATTTGCCATTTTCTTCTCCAGCTCATTTTCTAGATGAGGAACTGAGGAAAGGTTAAGCTACTTGTCCAGGGTCACACAGCTAGGAAGAGTCTGAGGCCAGATTTGAACTCAGGAAGATGATTCTTCCTGACTTCAGGCCTGGCATTCTATACATTGTACCACCTAGATGCCCTCTAATGATAATAGCATTTTGCATTTGTATAACATTCTTAACTTTTCAAAGTATTTTCACTTAAACTATTTCATTCAGGTCTCACAACATTGTAACGTGAATAGAAACTAAAGCACAGTAAGTACATAGAAACTAAAGCCTAAGAGAATATACTGTAGAGCACATAAGCGTGTAAGAGCATAGACAGGAAAAATAACCCAGGTTTTCTATCCTTTAATTAGGCTTTCCATCACATCCCATCATGTTGATGAGCCTCATTCATCTTATTCAATTAATTAACAGTCTAATTTAAGTATTTATTCTAGTTAATATTGGGGTATAAAGTAGATTTACCTCATTGTGGTCAATGTAATGGATTTAACAACTCTGCTGGCCTTTTCTAGGGACTTTTGGATTTTCCCAAATGGCTTCTATTCCTAGACCTCCACCTCCCAGGATTCCAAGATATGAAAAAGGTTGAGAACACTCTTATGTAGGCCTTCGGAAGACACGGTAGAGAGCTCTTAACATCATTTTGTGAATTAATGTGTTTAAATTAAATCAGTGACGTAGTTATTAGCATCTTAGAGTTTCTGAAATGGGGCCATGGTTTACACATCAGTTAAACAGGTTATCAGAGCTAGAGTGGGCTTTATTGCTTCATTGACTTGGTCTTCCTAGCCTGGGAACTGCCCAGCTGCTTTAATTTGGAAGCTATGTGGAACTCTGATGTTGCTCCCAAATCAGATATCTTAGAACAGGGGTTCTTAAACTTTTCTTTGGTCATGGTCCCCTTTGGCAATCTGGTGAAACCTATGGACATCTTCTCAGAGTAATGTTTTTAAATTCATAAAATAAAATATTCAAATATATTATAATAAAGTCATTAAAATGTGTTTTGTTTTGTTTTTTAGTTCACAGACTAAAGTTAAGAAGCTCTGTCCTAGAGCTATTTTAACAAATGACCATAGCTCTGGGACTTAGCTTTGACGAATTTATCCCTCTCTTCCATTACCTTGTTGAACACAGTAGTAATAGTTCTCTTGTGGCTCCTGCTTTTCTGGTTTTAAACATTTTCTAGGGAGTTCTTTTATTTGATCTTCAGAACAAGTCTGTGAAGTAAGTTGGGTGGATATTATTGCCATTATCTAGGCAAGGAAACCGATTCTGAGAAAACTGGATAGAGTCAGGATCCCTTGATAATTAACAAATGGCACAATAAAGCCTGGAAACTCTCCTGAGTCTCAGAGCGTTATTCTTTCTATGATATCACACTATCTTTTTAAGAAGGTATTGTTTTGTTCCAGGTCTTTGTAGCTTCTTAGTACTTAATGCCTTGTAGTAGATTCTTAAATGAACGAATGAATGAATAATGAATGAGTGAACTAACATAGTCAACTTGGGGTCATCCCCATTCTCTTCTATAACAAGTCCACCCCTACCTCCAAAGAAAAGAAAAGTTATTCAAGTTGGACAATATTGAGATGATAAACCTAGAGAGGGTTGGGCTGGGCAGGAGAGGATACAAGTAGGATGCAATCGGGACAGATGACTCCAGTCCTACTCCTCCCAGGCCTCTCTCCTTCTCCAACTCTTTCTTGTACTAAAAGTCCCAGTCCAAGCCCCAAGAGGGAAAGAGCTCATTCCCAATTCGACACTGGGCATGCTCAGTAGCCAGGACAGTTCTCAGTCGGCTGGAGGAAGCTTTTGCACTCCAGCCTCTAGCTTCCTAGAGCATGTTGTATGCGCAGCTCAGAGGCAGAAGCTGACTGCTGCAGTGTTTGCACGGGTTCTGTTAGGAGCGCATGCTGGGTCTGGACCAGGACCCGCACAGGACATCTGGATTCTCCTTCTGCAGCTGCTCTTGCTGGCCACCGGAAGGGTTGTGGGGAGGAAATCAACCTGCTGTTTGTCCAGTCACACAAGGTTCACAAACTTCAGCATGCAGGAAGTTTGGAGAGAACTCGGAGACTAGCACAGCCTGCGGCGCCCGCGGATTATCTACAGTGGCGCGACTGCAAGACAGGCAGCCGTGAGGTGCAGGACTCCCTTGGTGGGGAAGCCCAGGTTTTTCTTGGAGCAGCGTGGGCCTAGGGACGCGAATCCCGATGTACCGTCTCATCCTCTTGTACACTGTAGTGTGCGCAAACTTTTGTAGCTATCGGGACGCTTTGGCGATTCCCCAAAGCGGATCTATTAAAGCCTTGCGCTCTTCTAATCTCAGGCGAGATGGTAAGTAATGCTCAAACTTTATTTCTAGTTGCTTCAAGCGCCGAAGCCTTTGCAGGGGTTAGGGGTGGGCTCCCTCCCCCCATTCAGTGCAATTTCCCCCAGTAGAGGGGGGCTAAGGTGAGTGAGGTTGTACGAAAGGGAAATTCAAATGGTTCACTCCTCTAAGTGGCCAGTTACTCTGCCGTACCAGTTCCCAGGATGGTTTGCTTCCTTCAATTGCTGAAAGTTGTGGACTGCGATGCTTCTTTGTCTCACTCCTAACTTTTTAGATTAGAAAGTCTAGGGGTGAGTGCTAGTGATTATGACGAGTGGAGAAATCGCTGCTATGAAGCGATGGGTCCTTTGTGTTAAAGTAGTGCTTTGTCATCGTCGGCACCCTAACCCAGTTTTAACTAAAATTAAAAGCTATGAAAAAAAAACAACAACAACACCCTATTCCTAAGAATAGGAGGCAAAGTTTGTGGTGAGGAAGTTATGTCAATAGAAAACTCTGCAGACCCCATTCCCTGCAAATGAATTTCTCGTTCAAGTTCAGGGTGATTCTGAAATGTGATCAGCATTGCGGGGACGGGGATTAGCGTGCCAGCAGTTGCTGCTAGTCCTGATGGGCGCTATTAGGCTCAGCCTCAGATTCTTTCCCAGAGGGATTGCAACCTCTTTTGCTAGGAGCAGAGGTCAGTTCTAGAAACAGCTGACCCAAGTCAGGTTCCAATCAGGGATAGTTTCACCTTGAGTGTTCCCTCATCCCAGGGCAAAGACTCTCCAAAGGCGGTAGTTGAGTTTATGCACTTTTTAGAACGCCTGTTAGATATTGTTTCCTTAGTTCATATCCAAAGCATACATTCTAGACAGGTAACAGGAATATCTGATGCCTACCTCTGTTGACTTATCTGTATCTTTTCCTGCGTTTTCCTCCTGACCTTATACTCTGCCAAGACAACATTGTCTCTCTTTGGACTCAACGTCTTCTTAATATCTTTGCTGTTAGGCTTTTTGTGACTTAGGAACTTCCAAACCTAGATTACTTGGCAAATATTAGCTATTTGGTGCCGTTTTTAGTATGTACTGCTACTTGTAGGAACTTTCTGATGTGTACTTAACTTGAGCTTTACTAAGAGACTTTTGAGCTTTGCAGAAAGAAACCTTTATTGAACTTTTTGATGATGACAAGACTCTGGATTTTAGGGTATGCTATGTTCATCAAAAACAAAGATAAGTTTTGATTTTTTTGTTTGTTTGTTTGTTTGTTTTTGTAAAGGTAGTCAGCCTCCTATCCAAAAGTGTTCTACATGGAATGAGATTATTTCAACATAGCACTTTCATGTAAGAAGTTCCCATATTACACTTTTAATTACGTCCAATCCTTGTTTAAAGTAAAACAACAATCATGTTAGAACTTTGAAAGAAATGTTGAGGCAAAGATGATGTTCATGTGCAACCTTGCCAAATCTTGGGATTTTAGATTTCATAGATTTCATTCTCAAATTCTACCCCCGGGGTCAGATATTGCATTTTTCAGACTCCTTAATAAAAGTTTTCTTGTGACTATTTATTGAATGACAATAGTATTTCATTTTGAATTTTTTTCAGCTGTCACTATGTAATAATCCTGTATCTCCAAGTGTCAATTACAAGAAGTCATGGGGGGCAAAGTATCTAAAAATTGTTCATAAAATCAAGAGTCAGATATAAGAAAATCTTGACAGACTGATCTGCATGTTCCAGCATGACCTCTTGGAAGAAAAGTCACTCATTTTTTTTTGTTTCAATTGTTAGGATATTTGATGGATGTAGATTTGGGAGTACTTTGTTTTTTCAGAATTTTGAAACTCGCCCTGGATTTCCTGGCATTTAAAACTAACCCTTTTTTACAACAACTGAAATAGTTGATATTAGTTCAAATTTTGATCAGCCCAGAAAGCATGAGACTTTACAAAAGCCAGACCCATCCACCCACCAAAATAGATGGGATGAGGGTTGGAGGATGGCAAGGAAAAGGGAGCAAAATAAATTTACATAGTGTGCAATTAATGATCCTGAATTTTGGGCAATTCCAAAAGGAAGAGATCCATTTTTTAAAGGGTCCTAAATGGTGGCTCATGTTAGACGACAAGTTTTACAGATTTTAGGAAGAGTGCTAAAGGGGAATTCCTTTGTAAATGGTTTCTATTCATAACTAGAGAATACTTGTGGCCTCTTTATGGAGGCATCAGAATTGGTGAAGCTACCAAACTATTTTACAGAGTGTGAGTGTCATCCTGTAAATTGAAGTGGTAACTTAATAAATGGTATTTCAGTTCCAAAGATGCTTAACTTACTGCCATACTTATCACTGTGTAGATCTTTGGGTTAAAACAAATGAAATGAGTTAACATATGTAAAATGCTTTGCAAACTTTAAAGGACTATAAAAATGCTAGTTATTAAACTAGGTCCTTGGTCAGCTAGTTACTAAACCACTACACTCATAATTATAAGTAATAGGTTTGTAAAAATAATGTAATATAATTGGGGAAGTATCCAAGCCTGTGAACAATAACAATGATACTTAACAACCAGAGAGTCACTTATTACTTTAGGGAATCTGGCGTACTGAACATCAGTGATTTACAAGTTCCCATAGGGATCTTAAAATTCATCGTGATTCCTGCTTATAACTTCAGAAGCCAATAACATATAGAGCTGTCATCCCACTGAAAGGTAACACAATGAGGCCTCCTTGACTCCATTATTCCTTCTTGCCATCTTTGCTCATGAGGTGTGGGAGTGATGGTAAAAGGAAGTGGAAGAGGGTAGTTATTAACTAAGAGAAGATATAAAGAAAAACTAGAAGCTGTGGAATGTAGGAGTTAGAGAGTTTGTCTTGGACTCAGGAGACCTGGGTTCAAGTTCTACTTCTGACACATACTGGCTGGATGATACTAGGCAAGTCAGTATGCCAACTCTCCACTTCAGCAACTCTCTAAGTTCTTACATTGATAGAGAAAGAGTCCTCATTGAGAGTTCCCTACAGTAGTGAAATCACAAAATTCTGTCTCCAACCACCAAGTAGATATGATAAGGACAGGTCTCCCTAATAAAACCCCCAGCTTCTACTAACACAATTTAAAAAGTTATTTCCTAATAGTAATATTGGGAGGTAGGTGATGTAGTTTCTTAGCCCTATTTTTTAGGTGCAAAAACTGAGCTTCAAGGAGATTGTGACTTGTCCATGGCCACCTGATTACAAAGTATCAGCAGAGACTAGAGCCTGGCTCTCCAGATTCCTACTCCAGCACTTTTTTGGCTATTCTATGCTGTATCTGTAGGGTGTACTTAATAATCCTTGCAATGAGAAGACATTGTGATTGGTCTCATAGCATCAATAACTGTGATCACCCAGAGCTGCCAGGGTAGCCTAATGGAGTATATAGCAATACCACATACAGGTATTAGCATGGACTGCTCAATCTTCCTCTCCTGCCCTGGGTAGTGGCACAGTTACTGTTACCTGATCTTCATGGCCTTTCCCCTTTGCCTTCTTTAGATATGTCCTAAAATTAACTCTGCATTGCCTTTTTAATTATTTTTAACAACTAACCATGGTAATTTGAATGATAGGGTTAGTTTCTATATCCTTAAGAAGAAATCTGAGGTCCTACAGTTTTGGAAAACTTAAAAGATTATGTACAGTACATTATAAACTTCTCCTATTCATTGTCACTTACTATTTTTAGTGTTCTTTCTTCATTGTTACTCAAATTGCTTTAGTTTTAAGTACATCTCTAGGTTTCTAGGGGAAAAAAATTCCAGATTTTCTTTTTTTAGTCCCAGAAATAATAGGATTTTTGTGATAGTAATTAAAGATAGCATTCAGCATTGAGATCAAGAGAGTAGCAATGATCTGATTTTTTTTCTGATTACTAAGCCTAACCAGGTACAACTTCCAGCTAAGGATGCTAAAATTGTGGGTGACCTCTTAAACTCACATGCCTTTGATTTTGTCTTGCCCTCAGAAAGTACAAATGTGGATGACTCAAATACTGAATTTAGAACCATTCGGCAGTTTTGTATTTTAGTAGCTGAGAATCAACTGTTGTATTTGTGGTATGTCTAATGATGTGCTTACAATTACAGTACCTGTTAAATTCATCTTATTTTTATTTTTATTGTCTCTATATAAACTAATTATTTCCAATTTTTCCCCTTCCATTTATTACCCAGTAATAAAGATAAAAAAACAAACAAACAAACAGGGAAAAACAGCTTAACAAACCCAAACTACACATTGACCATTTCTAACAGTGTATGCATTATAGTCCCCTACCTTTACAATGAAGGGAAAGTACTTGAATTTTTCTTACTTCTTGTGGGATTTGGGGGAGGGAACGACAAGCTCCATTATTATAATTATTGCATTTGTTTTTAAATGGTTGTTTGTTTCTAAAATAAGCCATGGCAACTGATGATAGCTCTATGACTAAGGTTCAAAGACAAAACCTTAAGGAACATGAAAATTTAAAAGAGAACTTGGTAAAACATTATCTTAAACATGTCTGACAACCTATGGGCAAGATTAACATTTTGATACAATGAATTTTGATGTGGGAGCAACTAGGTGGTGCTGTGGTTATGGCTCTGGCCTTGGAATCAGGAGGACCTGAGTTTAAATCCGGCCTCAGACACTTGAAGCTTACTAGTTGTGTGACCCTGGGTGAGTCACTTAATCGCAATTGCCTTACCAAAAAGCAAAAATAAATAAATAAATAAATGAAATTTGATGTGAATGATTTCTAATAAATAGGGTATTAAAATCACATCTTACAGGAAATTGTTGGACATTGTGGTCATTACATATTTAATTGGGATATAACCTTGACTTCAGAACAATTGATCCACTTATTGAAAGGAGGTTACAGACTTTTAACTGATGCCTGGGCTCCATGTAGTGGAAGAGTTCATAATGGGGAAATGCCCCCTCCAGATGTGAAACAGAGCTATGTCTACTGTGCCTGGGCTTCC